AGAGGGAGAAGCAGGCTCCCAAGGAGCAGGGAGCCCGATGCGGGACTCGATCCCAGGACCCTGGGATCATGACCTGAGCCGAAGGCAAATGCTTACCCATCTGAGCCACCCAGGCGCCCCAACTTATTTTTTTTTTTTTTTAAATTTTTTATTTATTAGAGAGAGACACAGTGAGAGAGGAAACACAGCAGGGGGAGTGGGGGAGGGAGAAGCAGGCTGCTGAGTAGGGAGCCTGATGCGGGGCTTGATCCCAGGACCCTGGGACCATGACCTGAGCTGAAGGCAGACACTTAACGACTGAGCCATCCAGGTGCCCCTAAAAATAAAACCTTAAAAAAAAAAAAGAAACTTTTAAAAAGCAAGCAAGCAGGCTATCATAGGACAACTTCCATTTTTGTACTGTCCTATCAGAGAAGATAAGTGGTGGTGATTCTAATTTTGACAAACATGTTCCCATGAACACATTTCTTTTTTTTTTTTTTTTTAAGATTTTATTTATTTATTTGAGAGAGAGAGTATGCGAGAGCACAAGTCAGGGAGAGGGAGAAGCAAACACACTGCTGATCAGGGAGCCCAATGTGGGACTCAATCCCAGGATCCTGGGATCTTGACCTGAGCTGAAGGCAGATGCTTAACTGACTGAACCACCCAGGCGCCCCTCCCATGAACACATTTCTGAAATATCTGTAAAATATGGACAAAAGTTGATAAAGAGCTAAATGCAATGTGGTATCCCTAATGGGATCCTGAAATAGGAAAAGAACGGTACTGGAAAATCTAATGAAATCCGAATTAAGTCTGGAGTTTGGTTTATAGTAATGTTCCAGTGTTAATTTCTTAGTTTTGGTAAATGTACTGTAGTTATGTAAAAATTTAAGATTAGGAGAAACTGAGTAACTTCTGCACGATCTTTGTAACTTTTCCATAAGTCTAAAAAACAGTGATAGCATTTGAGAGAGAAGCCAAGTGAAATGTTGACTTTTTTCAAAATACATGGTCTTTGTAGGAAAATCAGAAAATAAGGGTAAACAACAATGAACAAGTAAAAATCACCTATAATTTCTTGACTCAGAGATAATTACTGCCAACTTCCAGAATTTTTTTTCTCTGTAGATAGGTAGATAAGAAGATAGAATTTCAGGAAATAAAGGTGGAGTCACGTTATAATACTGGCTCCTGTCTCTGTCCTTTTCTGTCTGTTGACGTCGGGATTAGCTTTCCATGCCAATAAAATAGATCTTTTAATTGCTGTTTCTTATCCCTTAGATTATTAACTGATCCCATGCTCTTGGGCATTTATACCATTTTCACTGTTATAAACAATATTGCACTGTATTAGTTGAAACTAAGTGTTTCGTGCGTATCCATGATTGTTTCTTTAGTTCCTACAAATGGAATTGCTCAGTCAGAGGGCCTGTTCACTTTTAAGCCTTTCTGAAAAACTGGCCCAGGGTCCAGCCCCATAGCCTGGCTCTGAACTTTCCTCAAATCTGAGGCATCTTCTTCTTCTTCTGTATCCTTACTAATGGGAAGGGCAAAAATGGGAGGTTTTGGTTTTAATTTGCATTTTTTAAATGACCAGAGAGATTTCCATTTTCTGTATTTTGCCCCCTTATATTCCTACTTTTGGAAATACTGTATTTGTATAATTTTCCATTAATGTGTTATTTATTTTTGTATTGATTTATGGGAGTACTCTATCAGCAGGTCTCCCTTCAAAGGCAGACCAGGATGCCTTGGTCTTTCCCTCACTGATCTTATTTTTCCTGCCGCAGATCCTAAATCTGACCCAGGCTCTGAAAGACAACAAGAGTCCCCTGCACCTTGTCCAGATGCCACCCGTGATTGTCGAGACGGCCCGTTCCCACCAGCGGTCTTCTAGCGAGTCCTACACACAGAGCTTTCAGAGTCGGAAGCCCTTCTTTTCGTGGTGGTAGCCCAAGAGGCAGACAAAGACATGTTGTTTGAGACTTGGGCTGGGAGGAAGCCTGGGGAGTGGGTTGCAGGAAAAGCCAGAGAAGCCAGTGGAGAGCCGTGCCCTTAAGAGCCCTTCTTCTCTGCTTGCCACCCCCTCAGCGCTTTCCCAAGCACAGGGAGAAGCACAATCGGAGGGACAGTATGTGCTGTTGGGCCCTTCAAAGTGCTAGGGAGGGCTGGAGCCTCCATGCAAGTGAGTGGTCCAGAGGCCCCGGAAGGAGCATCTCCCAGCATCCTCTGGGGGCAGGCTGGGAAATCCCCTTCCCTCCCTGACACCCTGCTCTGTGGCAATTCCTCATTATATTCTGCATCAGAAAATGAGCACACAAATACGAATTTAAATATTAGTAGCAAAACCCAGGCAGAATCCCAGATCCTCTCAGGTCAGGAACCTCTGATCCAGACCTAAATTTGCATGGACCCAGACACTCAGGTGCCTCACAGTTCCTTACTCCCGTGGACCAATGCGGCTGGGTGATTCAGAGAGCCACTGGGTGACTCACCAGTTGGGACAGACAGAAGCCACACCTTTCCTTTGGGTTTTTGCCAAGTTTTCTTCCCCTTCTCCCACCAGTGCAATAGGTGACTAAAAGCCTCCCAGCCCAGTTCTCATGGTCGGGACACTTTTGCTCCGGAACTCTCAGTGGTTCTGCATGTGATCATAGAGATTGGCTCTGCTCTCTGCCCTGCTAAGGACGCAGGCTCCCTAGTCCAGGCTTGCAGTTTACCTGCCATTTAGGCAAAGGCAAGAGGGAGGAAGTGCCCTCCCCAGCATGCAGAAGCGAATCCATCTGGCCTAAGTGCATGCTGGGAGCTGTAATTGGTCTGTGGGTAAACTTATCCCAGCCTTGCTTCCTGAGTCCTGGTGATAAACTCCCCCGGTCCTCTAATTTGTTCTGTTGTTAGCTATTTTTTTTCTCAACACTTTTGACTTAGGGGTTCAGTTCTGGGTTCTGGAGTGGGTCTCAGTGAGGTGCATCTCAGCTCATGAGAGGACAGGATATTAGGTCCCTGGACTTCTCTGTATGCCACCACCTGCTGCTTGGTGGAGGTAACGGGACTCATGTTCTCTTCCTAGTCGGCAGCTTCCCTTTGCTCCCTGACCTCTTGTTCCAGGCCAGTTTTTCCCTGGCTTCTTGAGAAGGGCAGGGCCCAGAGGAGAAAGGCCTTTAAACTGTCCCCCAGTGCCTGCCCAGCTCAGTGTGCATCTTCCTGCTTCCATGTCTCTTTGGCCTCAGCTGTCCCCCTTGCCAGGTGTCCGAGCCCTTTCTACACCAAAGCAAAGAATGGCCTCAGGAGGGAGTGAAGAGGGTGCCATCTGTGGCTAAGGGGCAGTTCTGCGCTACTGGACACTTCAAGATTCTGTCACCCTGCGATTGGTCAATCAGCCTTGGAGAGAAACAATCTTGAAGGTTTGAAAAACAACCAAAGAAAGGGAGCGAGGACTATGGCCGCGTGCCCTCTGCTTGCCCAGCTCCCGCTGCCCAGGAGGCAGAGCAGACATGTGCAGTCCTCTTGACAGCTGGGCCAAGCTGGTCCCTTTGCATTCCAGCCCCCAGGAGCCAGTTTGTGCTGGGGTTCCCTCCAGCTGCCAGCAAGCGTCTCTGGGAGCTGGATATGCATGCCCTGTGGACAAAGACACAGCTCTTAGCCCTGACAATCTCATTTGGCCACCCTGGAATCTGGCCTGGCGGGACCATGTTTGTGACAGTGCCTGCACCCAGACTGCAGGAGCAGCAGGGCTCCCAGAGGCCAGAGGGGACCCAGGTGTGTCTAGCTCTCCAAAGACCTCTCTACACAGACCTGTTGGTAAAGCTTCCCACGTGGGCGTTGAGAGAGCCCAAGCAGTCTTAGAGGAAGCTGCTTGCTTCCCCCAGCCAAGTACATCTGCACATTGCCCTCATCCAGACCAGCTCTCTGATGAGAAGGAAATTGGGTCCAGCGTACCAGGGGGCTGGTCCCAGTCCTGGCAGGCAAGAATGTGGGGCATCCTTTCTTGGCATGTCTCCATTCTCCTTGAAGTCTGTACTCAGGTTGCCTTGAATGTGGACTTGGGGAGAGCTGGGGGCCCAAATTGCCAGGGCGGGCTTCTGGGCGGCACTCACGGGACAGCCCAGCCCTCTGCCAGCCCCAGGCCCGGTCCCCGTGTCAGGGAGGCGAGGCCCGGCTGGGAGAGTGCTGCTGCCCGTGCTGCTCTTCCAACGCACTGTAGGGCTTGTATGTAATGTATTTAAGTCAAAGCAAATGTATGAACAAGTCCAAATCTGACCTTTTTTGTCTAGTGTTCTTGGGTGAAAGGAAGACAAGGTAGAATGCAATTTTAAACCATGTGTTTCCATGGAGTTGCTGAGATATGGCTCCTGAGTTATACAGGTCCTCATTTCCAAAGTCCCAGTGCTTATTATTTTCATTAACTCATTTGACACCAAAACATCACCTGAACCTACACTGGTATGAATTGAAGCTATTTGTAACCATCATGTTTTCCTCTTAGTGTGTATATTTGTTGCAGAAATATTAATGTTTTGTTATATTTCCCTACTAGGGATTATGCAGTATTTGCACTGACTACTTCCTAAAAGCTGAAAAAATTCTGAATAACAGAGTCATCTAGCCCAAAGGGTTTGGGATGAGGAATATGGACTCAGCGTCTCTTCTTGGCTACAAGAGGGCAACCCTTTATGTGTGCACATGGTAGCCTGCTTGAAGCACTTTGAATCCTTTAAGTGGTGGGTGATCGGGCAGGTAGGATTCCTGGGGAGCAGAGCTGAATGCTAATGAGCACATAATATGCTATTGAGGCGAAGCCAGCAGAGTAATCAAAAATCTTCACCTTAAAGGTTTTTAGGCTAGGAAACCTCAGGTAATGCCGGAGGCTTAAGAATGATTGGTCCAGCTGTTGACCCACCTCAGGATGGTTGGCCCATGGGGATAAAGAAACCAGCTGCAGGGCTGGCAGCCAGGACGTTGACTGCAGGCTCACTGCTCACTGTGCAAGGCTGACTGGAAGAGTCTTTCCCCTTCTAGAACTGGCCAGAGTCCAGGAGCCCTCTCTCTCCTGTGGATCAGAACTGCCCTGAAGAGATGCTTCCATCTCCTGATCGGACAACCTCTGGAAAAGGAGCCTTGGGCACAGGGAACTAGGGGCCGGGGGGTGGGGTGGGGGGGGTGGGGCTCCCAGGGAAAGGAGGCGTGTCCTATTTTCTCCTTCCTGGAGTAAGTGCAACCTTTCATCCCCTGGCTCCAGAGTGTCCATCTGGGGACCCTCCCTTTCTGTGACAGACACACTGTTGTTGATGTGAATGTTTTTATTTTGCCACTTAAACCACAGTTTCCTTGTGCTAGCCTGATGGGCAGGGGTGTGGGCAGGCCGCCGGGCCACGGGTTACAGGAGCAGCAGGAGGGTTAGGAGCAGGAGCGGGGAGATGCTCAGTCGGAGTGCCCATCACCTGACTCTCGGGGGAATATCATGCAGCCCAGGTGTACTGTTAGATGGGAAGAGCTGAGGCGCTGTTTCTCCACATTCTGGTGAGGAATGGGTCCCACATAACCTAGAGCTCAGGGGACGTTTCCAGTCCTGTTCTGAAAGGAGCAGGCCAGTGGCAGTGGTCTTTCATTTACCCCTGCAGGGCTGTCTTGCCTCAGGTCTCTCTTCCTTCTTCAGCTCCTGGGCCCTTTGGCAAAAGTCCCTCTGATTCCTGGAGAAGATACTGCCGTTCCCAGCCCCTTCCCTGGATCAGTGTCTGATCTGATGGAGGTAGCTTGTGGGGCCTGGCTTCTTCCAGTTCCGGCGGATTCTGGCAGTTGTCCTCCTGGAGTTCAAATACTGATCGCCAGAAGCCGTCTCCGTGGCACCACTCTGTGGGTCGGCCAGTGGAGTGCAGGGCTCGGGCATTCTGCAGAGAACAAGTGTGTGGCAGGCCCACATCAATAGGAAGAGCAGAATGGGGGCTAAAGAGATTGTGGTCATGATGAACTATTAAAACACACTGGTCGGGGTAAAATGAGACCAGGGCTTGGGTCTCATCTGCCTTCTGAGAGCTAAAGACTAGGCAAAGCTTTCAGATTTCTTCTCTGTAAAGAGAGCTGGACTAGATCAGGGTGTGTGATACTCTGCATTTCTCCAGCTTCCTCATGCTGTCCTCATGGCAGTCATCCTTAGTCCGCTGTGATACGAGACTCGAGGAACCAAGTACCCTCCTTTAGCAAGGTGCTTTAAACAGGGACTGCAGGTCAACTGGAGTTAATCTGAGGAAGGGCCTGATTTGCTTCCCCTGGAACTGATGACTCGGGAGACCTGTTCAGGTCTAATGCCCTGACTGGGGGCCCCGAGAAGGCAGCAGGAAGAATAGAGCCCAGAGCAGAACCCACAGTGATTGGCTAGGCCATGTGGTTCAGCTTGAGCTCGTGGGGCTCGCTGTTCCCAGGCTGTCAGTGACCTAGGCACAGGGGGATGACTAGGGGAAGTTTCAAGTTCCTCAACAATTTCCAAACCTCAATACCTCTACCGAACCTTCCTACACTATAGTCTCTATAATCCCACAGGCGAGATTTTAACCAGGCTTACTTGTGATTCTTACCTGTTCTATGATAGGGAAACAAATTTTCCCAAACAACAGTCCCTCCCACCTGGCTGAGAATCACTGCAAAGTTAGCACCTAGCACTCCTTCCCACGGAAGTTCACAGGGTCCAGTATGACTCCAGTAGTAACAGCAATCGTAGCACTGCCTAGACCTGACCACCCTCGTGGCAGGTACTTTACAGTGAGGCCAAGTCAGTGGCGCCAGGTCCCTGCGCCGGGAAATGGTGGCAGGGGCACCCTTAGTGCTCACCTTCCCTCAGCCCTCCAGTTCCAGGAACCCACCTGAGCCGGCTGCAGTGGTGCAGTGAGTGGCCCAGGGCTTGCGGCCGGGGGGGCCTCTTCCTGCGCAGCCTCCTCAAAGCCTCTGCCACACGGTGGTCTCCTGCACACTCCCAGATGATCTGTGCCCGCTCCTCGGCCAGCTGGTCCCCACTGCGCTGAAACAGGCCCTGGATCTGCAGCAGCTCGGCGTCCTGGAAGATGTTGGCCGAGGCCTGCTTGCGGCTCCGGGCCTCAGCCGGGGCCTGCCAAGGGGGCGGCTCACTCACCACAGAGGCTGGGGTGCCCATCCTGGGTGCTCTGCGGAAGAAAAGCATGGAGAGACATCAGCTTAGCAGGCCCTTCCCAAACCTGGGGTCCCGACCAATACAAGGCTTCTTGGTGTTTCTATTCTCCAGGAGCCAATGTGCAGTTAAGTCTTGACCTAAAGTCACTTTAGAGTGACTAGGGGCCCTGGGCACCTGGGGGAAATAATATGAATAATGACAGTCAAACTTGATCAGAAAGTGCTTATGTGTGCAACACATGTAGTATCTCTCTGGAGAGTCACAGCAACCTGTGACATAAGCATGGTTTATCCCCACCATACAGGTGAAGAAGTGCAACTCAGTGAAATGACCGTTGGCAGTCACAAAGCCTTGAGTAAGTGCAGAGGCGGCAGTAGAAGCCAGGTCTGTCTGGCTGTAAAGCCCAGGCAGACCCCAGGACACCTAGGTCCTTAGGACAGTGCTGGCAGCACCCACCGCACTGTGTGGCACATTTAAGTGTATCGGGCATGGCTCTAAGACTTGTAGTCACGTAACTGCACAGCAGCCCTGTGCGGGGGGGTGGGGGGTAGTGAATCCTCATTTCACTAGGGAAGAGACTGAAGAACAGAATCCAGATCTCTCTGATGCTAAGGCCCAGGCCCTGTAGCACAGAAGTGAGAGGAGGTTATGGGGTTGGGCTACCTAGGCTGGAATCCCACTTCTAGCCACCTCCACCATTGCCTAGCTCAGCTGCCTCCTGTACCAATTCCTACTTCACAGAGTCGCAGTGAGCTTGATGTTCTATTCTGCTTTCCCATCTGTAACACTGAGAACAGTCATCCCACCTATTTTCAAGACCCTGGAGAAAGACCAAGTCCACATAGTTTAGCAAACATAGTATGAAATAGATCTAACTGCGGTCCAAAAGGCCATGGAGAGCAACACGGGCAAAGAGGCGGCTACAGGGTTAGAATATACAACCACGGGCAGAGGCTGAAATCTGTTAAGAAAGTTCAATATAGGAAGGCTCGTGTCAATGCTCCCCCCGCAATAGGAAATGAAAATTAAATGATCTTCCTCAGTTCTAGAGAGTTCAATTTGAATAATAAAAGGAGGCTCACTCACCCTATCCTTGTCTCCAGTACAGCCTGAAAACGCTATGAGATTGGAAAGCAGAGTAGAGACAAGGAAGACCAAGGGACCTTGGCATTACACAGAACTGGACTCAAAATCCCAGACCTGCCACCCTCCTAGTGGTGACCCTAGGCAAGTTACTCAATGTCTCTGAGCCTCTCTGCTTAGCTGTAAAGGCTCATAACCACTTCTCAGGATTGCTGTAGGATTGAGTGAGTCTAGGGTGGTATGGTATCAGGTATCAGGTAAGAGCCAAATAAATGTGAATTCGTACCCTCCCCCTGCCCCCCCGCCGCCCCTTTTGGCCTCCTTGACTTTTGTACTTGGATCAGGGGTGTGACAGGATCCCTGTTCCTCTGTTCTGGCCTGAGCCAGCTGAGGACTTGCCTGTGCTCCCTCGGCCCCTCAGCCCCAGGCCTGATGGCAAAGGCCAGGCTGCTACACCAGACCTCAGCTCATTCCAGTGAGCTATGGAGATACCTGTCACCCAGAAACTAGCTTAGAAAGGGAATAAAAATTAAAATACATTTCAATACAAAATGTCCATGCTCATTGTAACCAACAGAATGGAAATCACATAAAGCATTCCCAGCTCCGCGGCCCTTACTCTCACCTGCCTTTGTTCTCCTGAGAGTTTGAGACCTCTCTCCATCCCATTTAGACTCTGCAAATGTAACTGGCCCTCCCTCCTCCTCACCTCAAAATCCAACCTCCTTATTCCAGTAATTTCCACACTCACCCTGTCCGAGTATCTAGGCCTCCTCTCATAAGAACCCCACTCTCTTCAAAAGGTTTAATAAATAAACCTGTAGAAGACTTTCAGATGAATTAACTCCATAAAAATTGTGCTTTTTATCTGGAAATGGGAATTTAAAATCTATCTCTCCTTAGGCACTATTACGGAATCCAGTTAAAAACCTAGTATGTGTGGTAATTAACTCCCCTGAGCTGGATGATAAAAACATACTGTGACCAGAAAACAATAGCAGGGAACACTTTGCAGGCTGATAAAAAAGCTGACTCTGGGTCATTTACTCTGCATCAGGTGATAAGACCGTATGCATGCTATTTCATCCTCAACACAATTCTAGGAATCGGGCACGGTTACCCTCCTCCCAGCTCAGAGGAGCAAAGGAAGCTGAGACACAGATTGAATGCCAGGGGCTCAGCCAAGGCCAGGACCTGGTGCGAGGGGCTGCAGCTGTGTCTGAAAACCTCAGCTGCCTTCACAGCCGAGCAGCTCAAAGCATGCTGCTGCCCGTCATTTCTGTGGGGGATATTTCACTATTCTCACCTAAGTCACCAAGGGGGAAACCTGCCAGTGGAAAAGGAAGAACCACACAAGGCAGGGGCGGGGTTGTAGAATTTATTTTAATCTTTTCATTAGCGTCAAAGCTGTTTACTGCGTGACCCGCTGTTCTAGCCTTGAACCTGCGGCAGTCTAAAGAGGAAGATCCCCCAGCTTCCAAAACAAATCTGGAACTGCAGCCCAACCCAGTGCACACAGTACTGGCTTATGAGTCAGAGCCCTAGGCATGCCACTCACTGGCTGAGGGGCCTCCGGCACTTCACCTCCGTGGGCCTCTGCTTCCCCCTTATATCTGTAAGAACAGGTTGATGCTTATGGTCTCTGAGGGCGTGTGCAGAGTCAGTGATTCTCTGACGAGGCTAGGTCTGTACGGAAGCGGTGCCTGGGTTTGCTTGGCTGCCAAGGCCTAGATGCAACATGTGTGGACAGGTCTGGCTAATTAGGTGCCAGGAAATTCCCCAACCAGTAGTTCTTCTCTGCCCTCCTCAATCTTCCCTGGAGACAAGGCACTGTTTTGCTGGTGGGATGTGGGGTTTAAGGTCTGGGAGAAGACAGAGAACTCACTGCTCTAAAGCACTCCAGTGACCTAGGCTGGCTACGACCAAGCCTGGGGCACACTCCTAGGCTGGTCTGGGTGGTGGGAGAAGAGGTGGTATCGTTTCTCTCAGATTCAGGCAATCTTACCCTCCCTTCGGAGAGAACGGCGGCCGGATTAAGTAGCAGCAGCTGTCTAAGGGATGGCTTGGAGTCCGATTCCCAGATCCTCCCAGTCACCTCTGCGTGGCTACAAGGCCCTACCTCCAGCCTCTAGCGTCTGAATTAAAACACACCAACAAACCATCTGGGGGAGTCTAAGCCTCCAGCTTCAAACATACCCTCTGTGCACCTTGGGGCGGGGGGCCTTGGCACCTCCAGATTTTGAGGATCCTCACTCTTGGCTCTTGCTTGCCACCCTGGGATTCAGCCAGCACTAAGACTGGTAATAAAAATCAGTGGATTTCACATAGGATTACATGTAAACTTTGGGAAAATGAATCAGAACACTTTAATTATCAGAAGAAACTTTTTTTTTAAGATTTTATTTTTAAGTAATCTCTACACCCAATAAGGAGCTTGAACTTACAACCGGAGATCAAGAGTAGCATGCTCCACCGACTGAGCCAGCCAGGCTCCCCAGAAGAAACGTCTATCTTATTCAATGTGTTATTTGCCCCCTAATTTCTTGGACAAGACCTGAATCCAAGAAAGTCAGTGTATACTTGAACAATGGTACTTTTTTAAACTGGAAAATGACACCACAGGGATACTAAAAGATTACAAATGGATCTTTCATTCCAGAGCTGACATGAAAGAATATAAACATGGGTCTGTAAGCAAATGAGTAAAAACTCATTGCAAAAAACTTCAGTTTGACATAAACTAGCTTAAAATGAACCCCCAAAGTAAATACCAAATGTGGAAAATGACAAAGTTCAACTTGTTTTGAAATAGGCAATAAATGAACCGGAGAACTCTAACAAAGAAGTATATTTAAAAAGTGACTCACCATGCAATGAACTTGTAATACATAAATACAGTGCACAACTGCGCATCCTTTGTAGTATATGAAGCTCTGTTTAGACACAGCTATTCCGACCGTGGTCTCAGGGAGGCACACGTAACCATGAGAGGCAGAACACATCTGCGTGAGCTGGGCCGCTTTCACACTCAGCTCCCCTCCTTCAGATAACCCTGCTGATGGCAATAATCTGTAATCGGAGGCAAAGGGCCTCTTGGATAAAGAACTGGAGGCTCTGGCCCAAGGCCCAAATCAACCCTTGTGGCCCTGGCCTGCTTCCCTGCCCCTGGACAGGAGCCCAAATCTGTGGCTCCTCCACTGGGAGGCCCAGTCCACTTGGCCGTGTGAGCCCCCCAGGCCTTCAGGGCCTAGCCTCCGCCAGGAGTGCCTGAGAGAACTGCATACACGTTAGTCTCCAAAGCTAATGTGGAAGTGGAGAAAGGAACCGGGCCCTACCCCCAGACCAATTCTCACATACGTCTGGAAAATAAACTCTAGATGTAGCAATAACTCTTTTCAAGAGTTCAAGAACCCTGAATTCTGGCTGTGCCTCTGAAAACCGGGTGACGTTCCTATTCTCCCCTGCCTCATTTTGCTCATCGTCAAAATAGAATAGTGAGAGTAAATGACCCGTAAGGGGATAAGGGAGATAAAATTAAAGCATCCATCCCAGTACATTGCAGCATGAATGAGTGATGTAAGGGAAAGGCTGTTTAAGAATTAGGCAGTAGAGAATCATTGTCATTTGCATGAAACTCCCTCAAAAGGGGCCTTCACTCTTGGGAAAAGGGGTTTAAAGGGAGATGGATTCATCTGCGGACTTTTAAGTCACAGCTGCCACTAAGGCAGCTTGCTCCATGTCAAGCACAGAACATTACTTTCAAATAGGTGATCTTTTTAATCCTCACCCCATGAAGAAGCACTATAGTTACAGGTTATATCCATTTTACAGACGAGAAAGCTGAGCTCAGAAAGATTAAGTAACTTGCCCAAAGTCAAACAGGAGGTAGGTGGTGAGGCTGGATACACCCAGGTAGTATGACCCCAGCGCCCAGCCTCTCAGCCGCTGTTATTTTTGTTCTACCACATGGCTGACGAGGTCTTCAGGGGAAGGAACGACCCAGTAGGCTCTGAAACCTCTCGGAGCTTTCTATCAGCTTCTGCGGGTTTCGGAAGGCGCAGGGATTGAAAGTCAGGTCTCCCAAGCCAGCCTCGGCGCGCTCAGCACTCCACGGCCCCGCGGGGAGTTAGAGCGATTACTCACCACGCTGAAGGGCAGCGCCGACAGACCTCAAATCGGGATAGGGCAGGCTAAGATGTGCCCACCCCAACCCCTTCACGGCCTTTCGAATGGGCGGGCGTAGCTCTGCGCTTCCTGCTGCGAAGGTGCTCACCAGGACCAGGCGGTGTTCACCCACAGGACGAGAGCTTGGGAGGGGATATCCTGGCCCAGGTAGCAGGGCGACATCCCCAGCACAGGTCAGCCCCCGGGGCTCCGACGTGGCCGAAGCTTCGCACAACGCCGGGCCCTAAGTGGACCTGCGGGTTCGGGTCCCAGCGGCACCCGGGCTCTGACGGCCCGCCCGCCCGCCCGCTCGCCCGCCCGCTCGCCCGCCCGCTCCCACCGCAGCGCGAGCCGGGCCTCCGATCTACGTACCTGGCTGCCCAAGGCGGGCCACCTAGGTCACTGCCGCGACTCCCGGGAGAAAGCGCTCCCCAGCCGGGAAAGAACCAATCCACCGCCGAGCCTCGGTGAGAACTCCCCGCGAGCCTTCCAAAATCGAACGCAGAGACGCTGTGGGCCAATCATCAGCAACAGAGGGGCGAGAGGCGTGTCCAGGCTCCGCCCCCTTCCCTCCGCCGGCCTCGAAACCCGAGTGCGAAGATTCCCCGGGTCCAATTAGCAGCGGAGCAGCGGCGAGGGGCGTGTCCTCCGGGGACCCTTCCCTCCGCCCTCGGTCGCCCCAGCGCGGCGCCCGGAGGCGCCCCCTTCATTGACGTCAGTGCCCTGGGAGAGCAAGGTTTTGCTGGCGCGGGAGCGGGGCGGGGCCGCATTCCAGCCTCGGGGTGCGGGGCGGCAGGCCCTGCAGGGTACACGTGACGCGTGCCCCCTCCTCTGGGCCCTAGGCCAGCGCGCACCGCGCCGCGGGCCCTCTGCAAAGAGATCCGCAGTTCCCTTAAATTCACTTCCCAGACGGACCACTTGTCTTCTGGCTCCAGCTTTGAGGGAAAGGAAGGGATGGTGATATCTTGGGCTTTAAAGCTAGAATGCCGTGGGTTCAAATCTTAAACCGTCTATGCAACCTTGGGCCAGTTACCTAAATGAGCAGTATTAGGAAGGTTTAATACATTCATTGGACAATGGTCCATTAGGGACCCATCCTGTCCAAGTTCCTTAACAGGCAGTGAACTGGAGACTTCTATAAGCCTGTGCCCTGGGGGAATTTACAGCCTAGTAAGGAAGGCAGACGTTAAAGAGCTGAAAACATTTAGTAGTGATTACAGTTATAAACATAAAAGGGTCAAACAGGAGGAAACTCAACTCCCTGTAGGAGGTCCTGGGAGGTAGAAGAAGTAACATTTAAGCTAAAAAAGGAAGGAGAAGTTGAAGTTGGTCAAATGAAGAGGAGTGGGTCTGGGAAGAGTGTTTAAGGAAGAAAGAATGGCATGTGCAAAGTCTAGGAGGTAGCTTGACAAAGGAGGACTTGCTATGAGACCTGGAGCAAGGCTAGCAAGGGGCAGAGTGGTGAGAAAGCAGAAGGCAGAGGTGGAAGGTGAAAAAGTTTCCATTTCACTCTCTGAGGGGAATAGCATTATATATATCGTGTAACATATTTTATAGCACTTACCATGTGCCAGTAATGCCAGTCAGCACTTTACAAATATTAGTTCATTTCATCCTCATGAAAAATTTGTGTTTTTAGAAGGTCATTTTGGTCGCAGCTTGGAACTTGTATTAGAGGGTTTGGGAGTGGATGCAGTCACCAATGGGTTCTTCTTCTTCTTCTTTTTTTTTAGGTTTATTTATTTATTGGGGGGGGAGTCGGCAGAAGGAGAGGGAGAGAGAGAATCTCAAGCAGACTCCCTGCTGAGTGCAGAGCCAACGCTGGGCTCCATCCCATGACCCTGAGATCATGACGTGAGCTGAAATCAGTAGTCGGATGCTTAACCGACTGAGCTACCCAGGTGCCCCCAATAGGTTCTTGATAAATGCTTGGTTAGTTTTTTGGAAGATGAGGAGTTGTTTGCACACTGGTTCAAAAATGGTCAGGAAGGTGGGCGCCTGGGTGGCTCAGATGGTTAAGCGTCTGCCTTCGGCTCAGGTCATGATCCCAGAGTCCTGGCATCGAGTCCCGCATCAGGCTCCCTGCTCTGTGGGGAGCCTGCTTCTCCCTCCCCCTCTGCCTCTGCCTCTCTCTCTCTCTCTCTCTCTGACTCTTATGAATAAATAAATAAAACATTTAAAAAAAATTAAAAAAAAAAATGGTCAGGAAGGTGCCTGGGAATAGGCAGCTAGGTCTCCCTGACTTCTATTTCACTTCAGAGCCGACCTTCATGGTCGTTTAAGTGTGATCTCTCCTCTGTAAAAGTTCCGAGGGGAAAGAGTAAAAGCCAGCATATAAGGATTTGTGGGTCCCTTTCTGCAAGGTGGAAGGAATGTTTGGGAGCTGTTCTTCCTCATCCTATGGTCTCTAGTTCCTCTTTCCGTCCTGCACAAAAACAACATCAGCAAGTGCTTTGCTGTTTTAAAGTGTTTTAACAATGGTTTCTCTTTGCTTTTCCTGAAGACCTAGGGAAATAGCAAAAAGAATAAAGAAGTCAGCCATGTTCGTCTCCAATAGAAGGCGCTCATTGCTGCAAAGCCTTTCAGCCAACTGCTTGGCTCAAAAGAGGAGTCTGTGGAGTCCTAAACAGGAAGGCTGGGCTTGAACCAGGGACGTCCTGTTCCCTGGTCTCAGAAATAGGAAGGCCAAACTCTTGGCATTATCAGTGCTTGGAGAGCCTAGGACTTCTGATGCCAGGAGCTCAGATGAGCATACCAGGGTGGGAGTTAGGAACCTGTGGTTTCTGGGTCAGATGTGACTAAGGCTGGGTGGAGAACATCTGATGTCTTCCCACATTTTTGCAAGCGTGTGACCATGCGCTTACCACACAATGGAAACATTTCTATTGTTACAGCTTTATGATTCCATATGTCTGATGAGAAGACAGGGCACTTCTATCATGCAGGAGTGGAGGATTTGGGATCAACCCCCCAACGGGGAGGGCCCTGTTTGGAAGAGAAGGTCAACTCTGAGGAATGGAGCCCTGGTGTAATTCAGGCCAAGACTTGGTTTTACCAGGTTATGGTGAGGTGAGTGAGGAATACTCCTTGGGTGCAATACTTAAAGGGACACCAAAGCAGAAACAAAAACAAAAACCCAATAATCAAGATAAATATTTTAATGTAATATTTTTTAAAAATCAAAATTAATGTAAAACATCCACGGTGAACAAAATATCAACACTTAAAATAAAGACAGCTTGTTTGTTTTATCACCTGGTGTCATTTTGCAACAGGAATAGTCATTTCCTATCAGCCCATGGTTCCCACATAGGTCGCCATTATGCTCCCTGCCAATTAGCTTTATGACGACTGAAAATAGTGTGTGAATCGATTGGGCAACACAAGGCCTTATGTATGGTCATGTTTTTTGATTGTGTGGCTTTCATCAATTTTTTCCATTTAATTCAGAGAATATTTTGATAGGTGTGTAGAGGAGTGCACCTGTTTCCTTTTGCCTTGGGCGCCAGTATGGCTCAGCAGAGTACTAATTTCTAGGGGAGTAGAGTCTAGGAAAGGGGTTCCAGCTGTTCAACCTTAGGCAAATAATCTAACCTCTCTGCTTTCCTAGTTTCTCATCTATAAAGTGGAAATAATCATACCCACCTCTCTGTGTTGCTGTGAGGTGCTATAGGCATAGTGCGCAATAGAAACCTTGCTGTAGACACCAAACCAGCATTTGACTCTTTTGATCTCTGTCCTGCAGGAATTGCTCAAGCAGCCCTTGCAAATGGTTCCCCAGTGGACTTGAGGTTTGTTCCAGTGGGTTTGTTGTTGCTCTCTGTCCTGTTCTGGGGAGAGCAGAGAGAACTTTCACACTCAGCTGACAAGCAATAGTATGACTGTTGAGTCAACTCTGTTTTTCTTGATAAATGCTCTTGGTAATTCTAAACTTTTTAAAAAGCACCCTTCTGCTTAGGACATTACACAAGACAACTTACTACAACCCTCTTCTCTGGACTTAGCAACTAAGAAGAGCAAAGCCCTACAGACAAACGGTACATTATAGAAACACTACAAAACAAAACAACACAAAACAAAAAACCCACACCTAATCTGACTCGTGTACATTAGAATTAAAGGTCAATTTTGTAGTAATCTTGGCAGACTACAAAATAGCACAGGCTGGGTGGCTTAAGAGAAATTTGTGCTCTCACAGCTGTGCAGGCGAGAAGTCCAAGATCAAGGTGGCAGTGCATCCGGTTTCTGGTGAGAGCTGTCTTCCCTGGTTGCAGACGGCCGCCTGCTCACCATGTCCTTATATGGTGAAGAAAGAGAGGGAGCTTTCTGGTGTCTCTTCTTATAAGGGCACTAATCCTATCAGATCGGGGCTGCACTCTTATGGACCTCTCACTTAACCTTAATGACTTCCTTACTCCAAATACAGTTATATTGGAGGGTAGAGCTTCAACATGTGAATTTTGGGGGACACAATTCAGTCCATAACAAGTATGAACTCATGGTTTTTAACATACAGATAAGTAGATATAGAAATAAATAAGTTGTAAATGTGTGCATATGTTTAAATGTGTATGTGTATGTATATACATGTGTGTGTGTTCTCCAGCTGTGTCTTCTGAGAGGGCCTAGAAGTGATGATACCCCAATAGGAATAAGCACATTTACAATCCACATACCGAGT